TGGAGAAGTTCCAGAACATGAAGAAACAAACAGTTTACCAAGTCATTCTGGCTGCTTTGGAGGCTAACAATTCTTTCAGGGAAATACAGAACAAAACACCCTCTCCTGAGCTGGTCTGTGGGTAGTTCTAAACAAACGAAGGAAACTTTCTTCTCTTCCATGAGAATTCATAATGATATTCTCTATTTCCTCAAATAACCTTCTGTCCCACAAAATAAAAATCTCTAGTACGAGAAAAGCAGACATTTCCATCATCTCTCTGAATGAAGCAAGTGGACATATATTTCAGCTATGTCTAGACTGCAGAGCTTTTCCGGGATACCTGAAAAAGCTCTGATGCATCCAAGGAAAGTGTCCACTTTTCTAAAAAAATGTCAGAAAAGCAGATGTGTTTTGTCAGCATCCCTGTAAAATGAGGTTTTCATTTTATAAGGAAGAAGGGCTGTTCCGAAAGAAGCTTTTTTCCAAAATTTGGCCCCGTGTAGACAGGCCTAATTTTGGAAAAGCCTTTCAGAAGTAAATCGGAAAAAGAAATGCAATTTGTGTATGGCAAATAGTGTTTCTTTTTCTCATTATCTTTGTAGTCTAGACATAGCCTTTGACTCCTCTTTCTTTCCCCACAGTACTCTTTGTACTCTTCAGAAATAATTATATAAAGGGGAACAGCTCCATGGAAGGTAAATTTGAATATTTCTTCTTTCTAGGGCCAAATATACATTTGAGTTAAATAATACTGTTCCCAGCATTATTTAACTCAAATGTATATTAACTCAAAAATGACCAGTCAGGTTCTGTTCAAATCTCAATAAAAATAATAAATAAATAAAAGCCAAATATTTTCTCCACAAGCTGATACCTTACATGTCAGTTTCAACATGTCAGCAGCTGCTACAGGGAAACTAAAATCTCCTGAGCTCAGAATCTGGAATGTACAGTATTTATAAGAAAGACTTGAAGCTGACCTGTACATTGTTACTTGGGCTCTGAAATGGTTTGTCTTGTTTCTCATTTTATGCCATTGGGGCTATGTGTGTGAAATTAGCCTTCAAAGAATGGGGAGGACTGACAGAAGGGACTGCACTTCTGTTTATCCAATCAAGAGGAACACAGCCTGGGCACTGATAGTCCAAATTTCCTTCACATTGTGGTGCCAATGCACTACACAGAATCACAGAAGTGTAGGAGCTCATAGGTCATCTACTCCAGTGCCCTGCACTCAAGGAAGGACTCAATATAACTAACTCATTCCTGACAAGTGTTTGTCTAACCTATTCTTAAAAACTGCCAATGATGGAGATTCCACAACTTTGCTAGGCAATTTATTCCAGTGTTTAACTACACTGAAGGTGAGGAAGTTTTTCCTAATGTCCAACCTAAACCTCCCTTGCTGCAATTTAAGACCATTACTTCTTCTCCTATATTGAGAGATTAACCAGAACAATTGTTTACTCTCCTTGTAACAAACTCTTATGTACTTGAAAACTGTTAGCATGCTATTATAACAATGATCAGGGCTCACCGAACCGCAGTGAGCCCCGCTCGCCAGCCGCGCTGTCCGGCGATCTGCGCATGCGCAGATTGCCCGAACCTGTCTCTTCCGGGTTGCAATCTACTTGCCATGGGCGAGTAGACTGCATTATTTGTTGAGCCCTGACAATGATAATGATAAAAGAGGTAAAAAAGCAAGTGGGATCTACTCCATGACATGTAACCAGGAAAAAGAGGTTGGTAAGGCTCTTTAAAAAACCTGACAAAATCAACCAAAGCCCAGGACTTGGTGCTGTTGAGGGATTTCAGCTACTCAGACATCTGTTAGGAAAGTAACACAGCAGGGCACAGATTATCCAACAATTTCTTGAATTGTATTAAAGATTTTTTTTATTTTAGAAGGTGCAGAAAGCTACTAGGGGAGAGGTTATTCTAGATTTGATTTTGACAAATAGGGAGGAACTGGCTGAGAATTTGAAAGTGGAAGGCTGTTTGGGTTAGAGTGATGAAATGGTAGCGTTCATGATTTTAAGGAATGGTAGGAGAACAGCAAAAAGACAATGGATTTCAAGGTAGCATAGGAAGCAAGTCCAACAGGACAACCAAGTGAAGGCAGTTGACAGTTTTTTCGAAGCGACATTATTAAGGGCACAAGAGCAGATTATCCCACTGTGTAGGAATAATAGGAACTCTAGAAAGAGACCATTCTGGCTTACCCAGAAGATCTAAAATAATCTAAAAATAAAAACAGAGTTCTATGAAAGTGGAAACTAGGTCAGATTATGATGGATGTATATAAACAAATAACACCAGTATATATGAACAAAATTAGAGAAGCTATGGCACAAAATGAGAGAAACTAGGTAGCGTAAAAAAAGGTAAGAAGCAGACATTCTACAAATAAATTAGAAGCAAAATGAAATCCAAGGACAGCGTAGGCCCATTACTCAATGAGGGCAGAAAAACAGTAACAGAAAATGTGGAAAATATAGAGCTGCTTACTTCTTGGTTTCACCAAGAAGGTTGGTGGCGACTGGATGTGTAACATAAAGAATGCCAGTGAAAGTGAGGCAGGATCAGAGGCTAAAAGAGGGGAAAAAATCAGTTAAACATTACTTAGATAAGTTATATGACTTCAAGTCAACAGGACCTGATGAAATGCATCCTAGAATAATCAAGCATCTGACTCAGGAATTGACTCAGCAATTATCTTTGAAAAGTCATGGAAGATGGGAAAGATTCTAGTAGACTGGAAATGGGTAAATATAGTGTTAATCTATAAAAAGGAAAATAAGGTCAACCAGGGAATTACAAATCTGTCATCTTCACTTCTGTATCTGAAGAGGTAATGGAGCAAATAATTAAGCAATTAGCAAACATCTGGAGGATAATAAGGTGGTAAGTAAGAGTACGCATGGGTTTGTCGAGCACGAATGTCAAACCAACCTGACAGCTTTCTTTCACAGGGTAACAAACCTTGTGGATGGGGGCAGGGGAATGGTAAATGTGGTATATCTTCACTTATAAACTAGAGAAATGCAGGGGGGAAGGAGCCAAGCTGGGCACAGGACCACTGGAGGGCAGAGCTGGGCTAGGGGGTGGGCAGAGGAAGAAGGAGCTGGGCTAAGCACAGAGGGCAGAGCTGTGCAGGGTGTGATTGGAGGACAGAGCAGGAAAGGAGGGTGGAAGGAGCATCTCTGGGCAGGTGTGGGTTGGAGCTGCATCTGACCAGGGGTCCTCTGAGGGGTGGTGCTCAGGATTTCTCCAAGTGTGGCTCCATCCAAGGGTGGGGACAGGGGAGCCCATTTCTTGTGCTGTCCTCGGGGCTGGATTTCTGTTGGTGGGCCTGAGTACTGTATCTAGTTCTGGGTGCCACATTTCAGTTAAGAGATGGAAAAATTGGAGAAGGGCCAGAGCAGCAAAATAAAAATGATTAACAGTCTAGGAAACATGACCTATGAGGGAAGACTGAAAAAAATGGCATTGTTTAGCTTAGAAAAGACAAAGGATTAAGATGGACACAACAGTTCAAGTTCAATAAAAGGTTCAATAAAAGGTTATTACAAGGAAGAGAAAGAAAACTGTTCTTCTTAACCTCTGATGATAGGCCAAGAAGTAAAGGGCTTAAGTTGCAGCAAGGGAGGTTTAGGTTGGACATTAGGAAAAACTTCCTGTCAGAGTGGTTAAGCACTGGAATAAATTGCCTAGGGAGATTGTGGGATCTCCAACATTGAAGATTTTTAGGAGCAGATTAGATAAACTCCTGTCAGGGATGGTATAGATAATGCTGAGTCCTTCCACGACTACAGGAGACTGGACTAGATGACCTTTTGAGTTCCCTTTGTCCTATGATTTTAAGTCCCTTCTCCCCATCTCAGATCTGGAGGGATAATCTCTCCTATCTAGGTATAGGAAGATACATGCTTGCAACTGTTCATAGTCTCTGGCTACCTAACAGAGTTGCTAACTAGTCAGTGAATGTAAGTGTCCAAAGGCTTTTAAAGATGATGGAATTAGTCCATGGAACACGAGCCATATACTTTGCCCATCATTCACTGTTCTTCTTTACATTATTATCCTCTAGTTTTTGATGTGACATTTATTAACTAACCTGACAAGAAGGCACATCTACCAATACAACGCCTAAAATGCCCTAATGTTATCTAGTCTAGCCAAGTCAACACATTCTAAGTTAAATTTCAGCTGAGGTTAACCATGCATAAGGTACCAGTTAAGTTTCAGCTGAGCAAAGCCATGTGATAATAGGATTTTTCCTCAAGTGCTTTGGGAAGTGACTATATATTTTGGGAAGCTTTGCTAGAATTAGCTACCTGCAGCCTAGAAGAGAACAGACTCAAAGTCATAAATGCTTCAGGTGCATGGAGAAAATTATACTAGATACTGAGCACAGAAGACTGTTCCTCATTGTGCCAATTAGCTGTTAGTAAAAGTACAGACTATCGTTGCATTTTAGCTGTATAAGGGTGTGTCTAGACTACAGGGTTTTTTCGAAAAAAGTGGCCTTTTTTCGAAAAAAACTTCCCCTGTGTCTAGATTGCTGCAGCGTTCTTTCAAAAGTAAATCAAATGAATGCGGCAGTTTTTTCGACCGTGGAAAACCTCGTTTTATTAGGAATTATGCCTTTTTTCGAAAGTGCTCTTTCGAAAACAGGCTCTATGTAATGCAAACTGTTTTTTCAGAAGAGAGCATTCAGACTGCCTGGGTGCTCTCTTTCGAAAAAGTGGCTTGCTTTTTCGAAAGAACTAGTTGTAATCTCTTTTTCGAAAGAGTCTTTTTTAATAGTATTTTTCGAAAAAGCCTTTTTCAAAAGAAGCTTGCAATCTAGACATAGCGTAACAGATTTGATGTCTATGAATTCAATTAATCTTTGCTGTTTGGCGGGGGGAGGGGAAACTATTTTCTGTGTTCAGTCATTAGATTGTTTATAAAAGTGTGCTAGTGATTCATGTTAGTCAGATAACAATAAGCACTAAAGAATCAATGTTACATACCTTCTGATGGGGAATCACAGGCCTGGGAGAGTCAACTTTAGGTATGGCTGTTGGAACTGGAACTGGGCGTTTAGATCTGGGGATCAAAACATTCAAAAAAGATTAATAATTAGAACAACCGCATGTCCAATTTTTTAAATCTTTTCCAAACACCTCTGTTGTAGTGCACTGAAAATGTATCCTTCATCCAGAGTAAAAGCCATATGTAGAATCCAGTCTAGCTTCTTGTCAACAACCAATGTGCTGTCTTCATCAATAGCCAAGAGCGTCCCTTCTGTTTTTAGACTAGGGTTGCCTATTTTGATTGGACATTTTCCTGGATATATTCTTTCATTAAAGATTAATTTTTTATTCCTGGAAACTTCAGGAAAGATCTTGGAAATTTGAATTAAACTTTTCATTTTTAGCAGTGCTGATAGGCCAAATTATTCAAAAGTGTCATAAGAAACAATTTTGGGAAGCTTCAGTTTTTGGGTGCCTAAATCTAGATGCACAGAGCCTGACTTTCTAGGTGCCATGCACCCACAATCCTAGCTGAAATCAGCACTTCTGAAAATAAGGTCCACTGAGTCTTAAGCTGAACCTCAAATTCAGAGGACATTTCTGTAAATTGACCTTTCGCATAGAAAAGGGCAACTAAAATGATTAGGGGTTTGTAACAGGTCCCATATGAAGAGAGGCTAAAGCGACTGGGACTTTTCAAAAGAGGAGACTGAGGGGGGATATGATAGAGGTATATAAAATCAGGAGTGGAGTGGAGTGGAGAGGGTGAATAAAGAAAAGTTATTCATTAGTTCCCATAACAGAAGGACTAGAGGACACCAAATGAAATTAACGGGTAGCAGGTTTAAAACTAATAAGTGAAAGTTCTTCTTCACACAGCGCATAGTCAATCTGTGGAACTCCTTCCCAGTAGAGGCTGTGAAGGCTAGAACTATAACAGAGTTTAAAGAGAAGCTAGATAAATTCATGGAGGTTAGGTCCATAAAAGGCTATTAGCCAGGAGGTAGGAATGGTGTCCCTGGCCTCTGTTTTTCAGAGGCTGGAGTTGGATGGCACAGGACAAATCGCTTGATCATTGTCTTTGGTCCACCCCCTCCTGGGCACTTGGCACTGGCCACTGTCGGCAGACAGGCTAATGGGCTAGATGGACCTTGGGTCTGACCCAGTACAGCCATTCTTATGTATTTATGTACCTGGACAGATTTTTGTTTCTGACAGCTTAAAGTAATGTTGCACTTCTTCATACAATGCACAGTTAACCCATGGAATGCTTTGATTCAAGATACTATGAAGGCCAAGACTATAAATAGTTCAAAAAAAGAACTAGTTAAGTTCCTGGAGGATGTGGCCATCAATGACTGTTAGCCAAAATGAACAGGAATTGTGTCCTTAGCCCGGGGTGAGCAATAATTTTTGATGGGGGGCACTTCAAGAAGTGTTCAAGGGCTGTACTCTTCCATGATATTAATGGAGGCGGTGCGGGATATGAGATTTAGATTGGGTGTAAAAGGGAGCTCAGGGTAGGTGACTGGAGTGCAGGAGGAGGTGGGGGAGTGGGATTTGGGAGTGAGTTTGGGTGAAGAAGGGTGTTATGACCTGGGGCAGGAGATTAGGATGTAGGATCTGGGAAGGGGTAGGAGTGCAGAGAGAGTAGATGGTTGGGGGAAGGCAGGGCTGGGGTGCCAGAGGAAGGTTTTGGCCAGGAGGCGCTTACTTAGGCATCTCCATCAGGTCGCACAGGCAGGTTCCTGCCTTCCACATCCCAACACACCACTCAGAGTGGCTGGCTGTGGGGCCATGCACTCTGAGCGCCACACCCTCCCAGAAGCTTACTTCACACTCTGCTGGTCCTGCAAACAGGCAGCTCCCATTGACTGGTTTCTGGCCAATGAGAGCTGAGAGATTGTGCTGGGGGAAGGGCAGCATGCAAAAACCTCCCCTCCCCCTCATGGCAGCACTCAGAGAGGCAAGTGGCTCCTACAGCCAGCCACTCTGAGTTGTATTTTGCCCGACCGTGCCCTAGCCTCTGTCTGCCAGAAGCTGGGAATGGGTGACAGGAGAGGAATCATTTGATTACCTATTCTGTTCATTCCTTCCAAAGCACTTGGCAATGGCCATTGTCAGGGTACTGAAGTAGATGGACCCTTGGCTTGACCCAGAATGGCTGTTATGCCATATTACAAATCCTCCCCTCCTCCCCAGAAAGAGACCGTGGGCTTCATTTTCCCAGAAGAACAAAGGACCATCAAAACCCCCACCACCTTCTTCTTCATATGCAATACATACGTCTTTGACCTGCCTTCTCTAACAGACACATAACATCAGGTACATTTAAAGAACAAAACCCTACCATTATATAGATCAGAACCCTTTGGTTTGAACTAACGCGTCCCAGCATGCACTTGCACTTTTGAAACAGCTGTTGATCAGAGTTACGCGCCAGTGAGATCATGCGAATGAAGCGCGGGATATTTAAATCCCCACTTCATTGGCTATTTTGAATGCCTATATTTGCATCCCTAGTTTGAAGTAGGGTGCAAGTGTAGACATACCCTTTGAGCTGCTACACAGCAGGACTAAACTTGAAATAAGCTATGCAACTTGAGCTATAATAATTGTGTAGCAACTAACAACTAACAGAAAAGCACAGATACTGTTGGAAAAACAAATGCAATAAGAAATATTCTGTGGAAGAACAAACCTATTCCCATGTCTGCTCTCAGATGACTCCCCCTTTGTTTTAGGTAAGTTTGGAGTCTGTTTCAGCTAGTATAAGGTGAACATCTTGCACTTAAGGCTTAGCTGGAAAGTGAGAGGGGACTGAACAGAGTATTTAAAACAATTTCTGTATGTCTTATGACTCACATGGGACACCAGGAGTCACCCCTACGTATTATGCTTTGTTTGCACTTTTCCACCTTTTCCTTCCTGCAGGCGCTGCATTGCAGAAAAAATTATTTCTTCATGAAAGGAAGCAAATGGGAATTACCCATATAACTCATTAGTGCCATTCTTACACTAGACAAATAATTGATTAGTTACATGAGGTGTTCTTCATTGACCATAAGTGTACAATGAATTTAGTCCTTGCTGGCTCATAGAATGAAATGTTGACCTCAGTAATCAAACAGTCTCTCATGCAATGGTACAAAACAATAACCACAGTGCCACAAGATGCTTTCAACAGTAAATGGATTTGTAATTGTAAAGTCTAATGCTTGTATTCCACTAAATATTTGGGATTCTGGAGGTATTTTCTTCATTACAGCTGTGCTGGTGACTGAAGTCCAGATTTGCAAATAGCACATTCGGGGCTTTGTGCCAATATTAAGAGTGAAACCCCCCAAAACTGTTTCAAATCAACTGGTCACTTCATGTTGACAAAAATCATTTGATTTTAAAACTTTAGTTTGTTTTATATTGTAATTAAAGCTGACTGACTAAGTTATTTTTCAATTAGCCAGCAGCTCTGTGTGTGGCGGGTGGTAACACTGGTCCAGGCTGAACTGAATCTGATTTTTTTTTAATTTTTCAGTGAATTGAAAAAGTCAACAAAAATGTCAATGGTATTTGAGCGGTTGCTGAGGGCCTGCCTCCACCCCTCCCCAGGGAAAAGGCAAGACTCAGAACGACAGGCACCTTCTCCCACTGTAAATATAACCCAAATAAAGGTGGGAGCTTTTTGGCTTAACCTACTCTGCAAATGTGTCAAATTCACAAATAATTTTTAATTGACTAAAACTGCCTTTTTGACAAATTAACGTTTTATTCAATATTTTCCCATCTGTAATTATAATACAAATAAAAATATTTTAGAAAAAATATTTTGAAATGAAAAATCAAAACATGATATTGCTAGAATCCCTCTCTCTACCAAATTCAAGCAAAATCAACTCAGTTTCACAAAACATTTTGAATGGAATTGCATATTCCAGAATATGCTTCAACCAAAGTTTCTCTCACCAGCTCTACTGCTTATATGTTGCAAAGATAAGACTGGAATTTGAAAATATTTGCAGTTTTTTGTTCATCTTCTGACTAAAATCAATGTAAAGTCACACTCTTTTACCTGAGAACCACCAACAGCATTGGGGTAGTTTAGTGCACCAGATGTCAGCTACTGCTGCTCTGCTACTAAACAGTATTAAATATTCATCTTCTCCAACATAGTGCTGAAATATTTACCTATATAAATACAGGACTCCATGGGAACCAAATGTATTAGAAGAAACTATCCACATAAGCACGGGCTTCAAGACAGTGCAATAATATAACGTCCTTTTAATGAGTGTTCTTTATAACAGGAGGCAGAGTGATGAATTACTCTAAGTCCAAGTAGCACTTTTCCATTACTATGTGTCATGATTGTTGCTGACCTTTAAAGGTAATGGTCACTACATATATTATAATTTTGACAATCAATGTCTGTGTTGCCTTTGCTTTGCTAACCTTTTGGAAGGCTAAAATTGAAACCATGTTTTTGACAGAAGGTTTTTTCCTTCCTGTATGTGAGCACTAGTTTATAAAGCATTGGGAAATATTTCAGCATAAGCAGGAGATATTTATTATAACTCACATTTCCTCAGTTGCTTGAGATATTAAAAGGATGAGCACTATAGAAATACTTTAGCTTAAAAAGCACTTTACAAATCATTCATACATCATCACTGAAATGCAACCATTGGCAGGTTGCAAAAAGTAGAGGGAGCAGAATTGAATTTCTGACATTCTTTGCTTTAAAACAAACCTGTCTAACTTTATTTGCAAAAAGCTAAAAGAGAGGGACAGACCAGCTTTTAGACCTCTTTATCGCAACTGTCCCTCTTATAAATGTTAACCAATAAAATGTCAGAAGCCTTAAAGCTAACTAAGAGCCATAATAGCCAAATAGAACTATATATAAACAGTTTTTTCCAGTTACAGGATAACTCGGCTCTCCCTCTGAAGCTTTTTTATATAAATATATTCTCTTTGGAGGGTCTTCTTCCTGCCTTGAACATCCAGCATGATGGGGGGAGATGTGATGGGAATGAAGGTAGAGAGCTTGGGAAAGCCTGAGGAAAGGCACTGCTT